AGTATATTCAGTATTCTTTGCCAAAACCATAAGTCAAAGGCATTAATTCTTCTTTGGTCCTCCTTATTCTATTGTCCAGCTTCCACATGCATATGAGGTGATTGAAAATACCATGACTTGGGTCAGGCAGGGGCACCTTATCCTCAAAGTGACATCTTTGCTTTTTAATACTTTAAAGAGGTCTTTTGCAGCAGATTTGCCCAATGCAATACATTGTCTGATTTCTTGACTGCTGCTTCCATGAACATTGACTACGGATCCAAGTAAAATGAAATCCTTGACAACTTCAATCTTTTCTCCGTTTATCATGATGTTGCTATTGGTCCTGTTGTGAGGATTTTTGTTTATGTTGAGGTGTAATCCATACTGAAGGCTATAGTCTTTTATCTTCATTAGTAAGTGCTTCAAGCCCTTTTCACTTTCAGCAAGCAAGGTTGTGTCACCTGCATAACGCACGTTGTAAATGAGTTGTCCTCCAATTCTAATGCCTCGTTCTTCATATAGTCTGCCTTCTCAGATTATGTGTTCAGCATACAGACTAAGTAAGTATGGTGAAAGGATACAACTCTGACGCACACCTTTCCTGATTTTAAACCATGCAGTATCCCTTTGTTTTTTTCGAACGACTGCCTCTTGGTCTATGTACATGTTCCTCATGAGCACAATGAAGTGTTCTGGAATTCCCTTTCTTCACAATGTTATCTGTAATTTGTTAATGATCCACACAGTCGAATGCCTTTGAATAGTCAATAAAACACAAGTAAACATTTTTCTGGTATTCTCTGCTTTCAACTAGGATCCATCTGACATCAGCAATGATACCCCTGGTTCCACATCCTCTTCTGAATGTGGCTTGAATTTCTGGCAGTTGTCTGGTTTTTTGTTTTTTTTTTTTGGCAGTTCCCTGTTGATGTGCTGCTGCAACTGTTTCTGAATGGTCTTTCAGCAAAATTTTACTTTTGTGTGATATTAATAATATCATTCAATAGTTTCCACATTCTGTTGAATCACCTTTCTTTGGAATGGGTGCAAATATGGATCTCTTCCAGTCAGTTGGCCAGGCAGCTATCTTCCAAATTTCTTGGTATAGACAAGAGAGCACCTCCAGCACTGCATCCATTTGTTGAACCATCTCAGTTGATATTCTGTCAATTCCTGGAGCCTTGTTTTTTTCCAATGCCTTCAGTGCAGCATGGACTTCTTCCTTCAATACCATCGGTTCCTGATCATATGTTACCTCCTGAAATGGTTGGACATCGACCAATTCTTCTTGGTAAAGTGACTCTGTGTATTTCTTCCATCTTCTTTTGATGCTTCCTGCTTGGTTCAATATTTGTCCACAGAATCCTTCAATATTGCTATTCAAGGCTTGAACTTTTCTTCAGTTCTTTTAGCTTGAGAAATCTCTGGCTGTATTTCTTCCAAGACAGATTTGTTCATTCTTCTGGCAGTCCATGGTATATTCAATACTCTTCTCCAACACCATAATTCAAAGGCATCAATTCTTCTTCAGTCTTTCTTATTGTCCAGCTTTTGCGTGCATATGATGCGACTGAAAATATCATGGCTTGGGTCAGGCGCACCTTAAGTCCTCAAAGAGACAATCTTTGTTTTTTAACACTTTAAAGAGGTCTTTTGCAGCAGATTTGCCTAATGCAATACGTCATTTGGTTTTCTGACTACTGCTTCCATGGGCATTGATTATGGATCCAAATAAAATGAAATCCTTGAGAACACCAATCTTTTCTCCATTTATCATGATGTTGCTTATTAGTCCAGTTGTGAAGATTTTTGCTTTCTGTTGAAGTATATTCCATACTGAAGTGCTGTGATCTTTGATCTTCATCAGTAAGTGCTTCAAGTCCTCTTTGCTTTCAGCAAGCAAGGTTGTGTCATCTGCATATCACAGGTTGTTAATGAGTCTTTCTCCAATCTTGATGCCACCTTCTTCTTCATATAGTCCAGCTTCTTGGATTATTTGCTCAGCATACAGACTGAATGGGTATGGTGAAAGGATGCAACCCCAAGGTACACTTTTCTTGATTTTAAACCACACAGTATCCCCTTGCTCTGTTCGAAAGATAGCCTCTTAGTCTATATACAGGTTTCACATGAGCACAATGCAGTGTTCTGGAATTCCCATTCTTTGCAATGTTACCCATAATTTGTTATGAGCCACGTAGTCAAATGCCATTGCATAGTCAATAAAACACAGGTAAACATCTTTCTGGTATTCTCTGCTTTCAGCCATGATCCATCTGACATCAGCAATGATTTCCCTCGTCCACGTCCTCTTCTGAATCTCGCTTGAATTTCTGGCAGTTCCCTGTTGATGTACTGCTGCAACCGCTTTTGAATGATCTTCAGCAAAATTTTACTTGCCTGTGATACTAATGATATTATTCAATAATTTCTACATTCTGTTGGATCACCTTTCTTTGGAATGGGTACAAATATGGATCTCTTCCAGTTGGTTGTCCAGGTAGCTATCTTTCAAAGTTCTTGGCATAGACAAGCGGGCACCTCCAGCACTTCATCCGTTTATTGAATTGGCATAACATAGTTTTCATAAAGAAAACGTTCTACATCCCACGTTGGTGAGTAGCGTCTAGGGTCTTAAAAGCTTGCGAGTGGCCATCTAGGATACACCTATTTGTTTCATCCCACCTGGAGCAAAGAAGAATGAAGAAAACCAAAGACACAAGGAAAATATCAGCCCAAAGGACTAAAGGACCACACGAACCAGAGACTCCACCAGCCTGAGACCAGAAGAACTAGATGGCATCTGGCTACCACCAACGACCACTCTGACAGGGATCACAACAGAGTCCCAGACAGAGTGGGAAAAAAATGTAGAACAGAATTCAAATTCATGAAAAAAGACCAGACTTACTGGTCTGACAGAGACTGGAAGAACCCCAAAATTATGGCCCCTGGATGCTCTGCTAACCCAGAACTGAAACCATTCCCGAAGCCCACTTTTCAGACAAAGCTTAGACAGGTCTATAAAACAAAAAATAATACACATGAGGAATTTGCTTCTTGGTTCAGTCAAATATATGAAACCAAATGGGCAACTCCTATCCAAAATTAAGAAGGCAGGAAGGGACAGCAACTGGATGAATGGGCACAGCGAACCTGGGGTGGAAAGGGGGAGTGTGCTGTCACATCATGGGGATTGAAACCAATGTCACAAAACAATATGTGTAGAAATTTTTGAACTAGAAATTAACACGAGCTGTAAACTTTCACCTAAAGTACAATAATAATAAAAAAAAAGGTTGGCAGTTTGAATCTACCAGCCATTTGTTGGAAACCCTATGGGGCAGTTCTACTCTGTCCTATGAGGTCACTATGAGTCAGAACTGACTCGATGGCAGTGGCTTTAATGATAAACAGGTACACAGATAGATAAAACGAAGCCTCTTCCTTACAGTAAAATTACAATTAATATAGAGAAATATTGGAGTTAGAAAATCACAAATTTTATAAATATCTTAGTAACAAGTTATTCAGAAACGAAACATCAAAGGATGCTAAACATAGGAGGGGAAGGTTTGATGTGGAAGAGAATATTTACGTGGTCTCAAAGTTTCTCCCCACAAATTACCCACTAATTTGCAAAGTAATTACATAGTGGAGAAAATGGACAACACCTTACTCAAGTGATCAAAATTTACATAACCAACTAGGGACAAAGGGACATTCTGTGCCTCTGGATGTTGATACCTGGAGGAGACATCACTTACAGTACTCCAGCCTATACTCTAATCCATTATTCTAACCCATTATCCCAAGAACTCGACTCTAATCAAGAGGAAACATCAGACAAATCCAAACTGAGGGATATTCTATACATTATCTGGCTGTATTCTTCAAATAATCAATGTTATGAAAGACAAAGAAAGGCTGAGGAGTTGTTCCAGATTAAAGAGCCATGACAACACAACATGTGATCTCAGACTGAGTCCTACAGCTGAGGAGAAAACTACCAATGGAGTAACAACAACAAAAGTAAACTGGAATACGGACTGTAGAGCAGATGAACATACTGTATCAATGTTAAATCTCTGAATTAGATTAACTGTACTGTAGTTAGGCAAGATACTATCCTTGTTTTTACGAAGTACACGTGTAGTATTATTAAAGAATAAAAGGCATGATGTCTGCAGTATACTCTCAAATGGTTCAAGGGAAAAAATATTATTGAGAGAGAAAATGATAAGCATATATTGGAAAATGTTGGGGAAAAAAAAAGTCAGGGGCAGAACAAAGTATTTTTGTTCCAATTAAAAATACCAAAAGAAACACATATATTTATGTAAACACAGACATACAAACTATTTCTAGGATACTAAAAAAATTTACAGTACTCCTCCCTCCCTTCTGCCCACAATTCCCACAACAGAACTAGGAGCTAAAAGCTATTAGCTGGTTGATATAAGGCTGTAAAGGCATAAAGTCTCCCTCTTCCCAATCCCCAGCCTACTCTATAAACACTACTAATAGCTCCCAGATGTTTTCTATATGTATAAACTTCTGTACATAGATGTCATTTCCTTATCATTTTGATGGCTGCCTATTCTAACAAATGAATATACAAAATTTACTTAATAAATGTTTTACTGGTATTTTTTTAAAATAAATCTGAGATTCTTTTATAGGTTATTTAATCACTTTTACACTGATTACATTGATTTTACTTCGATAAAAGTTATGTTTGGTCTTAATTCTATCATCTTTTGTTACAATTTCTGTTTTTATGCCTTCCTTTAAAAAAATTATTTGTTTAATGCTCATGTTTTCTTGATTTTGGGATTTCCTTTCTCATCTAATTACTATTTCTTGGACATGTTATCAGGAGGGACCAGTCCCTGGAGAAGGACATCGTGCTTGGTAAAGTAGGTGGTCAGCGAAAAAGAGGAAGACCCTCAATGAGATGGACTGACACACTGGCTACAATGATGGGCTCCAGCATTAAGACCTGTGAGGATGGTGCAGGACCGGGCAGTGTTTAGTTTTGTTGTACACAGGGTGGCTGTGAGTCGGAACTGACTTGACAGCACTTAATAACACAACAACTTCTCATGACTATTATTTTGACAGTACAAAGATTTATAATATTAAATTCTGTTCTGAGATATAATATTAACAAAAATCTTTGTAGGAGAACCTGACACTGGCTACTGGACATCATGGAAGCAGGCTACTCAAGGCAGGAACATGAAACGTGAGTTGTGGAAGTGCAGATCCCCACTTATACCTAAAAAATACACTTTTCCCTAAGTCAACCGGCCCAATTTTTAATGGATCTGGAACACTCTCTGACTGGGTCTTGTTACAGGCCCCTTGTGCTACACTTTTAATTAAAAATCCCAAATCAATTAAAGCGTGACAGGATACTCCCCGCCCTCAGACTGTTGTTATTTATTGTATTTCTGCATTGTCCTTGTAATCTTTGTGGATATGAATCAATAACAATGTATCCTAGGGGGGAAAAAAGCTATTAAAAAAACCATATATATAAATTAAACAGGTAAAGCTTTACTTTTCATAATAATTTTCAACAACTAAAAATGCAACATATGCCATGTATACTATCACATTACCTACGCTACATGTTTTCCAGTGCTCTCTATTTGTACACACTGCACTTGGTGGTAACAGTGAGTACTTTTTTGCTCTCCCATAGTAGCCTGTAAGGTATCAAAGGCACTAGTCCTGAACCTCTGAAGACAGCATAAGAAAAAGTTTTCTCTGAAACCTCAAAGTAGTTTTTTAGCAGTCAATGTTATAATAAAGAGTCAAGGTGTTTGCTATGTTTTCCTTTTTCATGTGTGTGAAGGGGAGGGGGAATTAAAAAAGTTTTTCTGCTTCAAAGAGCTTTCTCAAAGTGGAAATAAATGAAATCAATGCAAATTAATTTTTATTACATGTCATCATGGACAAACACTGTTCTGTTTTTCTGGCTTTCATGACAGTTGAATTCAAGGTAATGGGTACATATGTGCTTTTCTGAAGTTCCATGTATGAATTTGGACGTATTGGGCGTTCCTTGTTCTTACATGAAAGGAATTGGTGTTCTGACTTCAAGAACAAATTAAAAAAAACAAACAAACAAATCTAACTTGTCTTTGATTTGAGTCTGGGCTAATTACCAAGGAACATTCAGCAATGTTTTCAAATATTTAGATACCCTGTGAAACTGCAATCAGGGAAGGGCCGATTCTAAGAACTATGCAACAATAAAGAAACGAGGGAAGAATTATAAGCCTAGATGCCACGTTCAGAGCAAAACATCAGTAATCTTCTCACTCTTGCAATACTTATAAATAAAGTAGGAAAAAATAATAGGAATTATATGAATACTGTGAAATAAAAAGTGCATGCAGAACTGGGTGATTTTTTTTCATTAAATTTGCTACTTATTCCAGTTCAATAAAATGCACTTGGTGCATTAACAACTTAAGACAGAAGAGTAGTTACATCTTTGCTGTTCCTTCTTGAGAGCAAAAGAATGAATACCGATCAATTTCCCTGGCTTAAACTCAATTGTCTTAAAACATGTTATTTTGTAACTTGAACATCTATGTTATGTGTTGAAAGTTCAAATCAGAAAGTAAAATCCTACAGAAAGCCAGAAAGTCATCAATATGTCTAGACGGACGTTTGCTTGTAGTTTTTGGTATCCAAGACCTTTTTTCCACACATTGCACAGATGCCTAAAACAAAAGAAAACATGTGAACAATCAAATCATGATACCAAGGATATGGTTTATTTAAATCAATTCTGAAGCTCAAAACATAATGTAATAGCAGCAGAAAAGAGAAGAAGAAAATACCTAGTTTTAACTATGAACAAGTTCAAGTTTCACTTTGCCTTGGAGAGAGTAGCTGACTAACAGGATTTATGAAAAGCTACTCCTTTTCTGTTATTCAAATCAGCACTGAATGAAGCAAGTTTGATGAGAATAGAAAAATGGTATTAAGAGAAACGTACCCTTTTTGTAGGCACAGCCCTGACAGTAATGAGAACCAGGTTGGTGCACAGAACTTTTGCAAATTCTGCAAGTGGAGAACTTATTCTTTCCATATGGATCAAACCTAGATATTTGGGGGAAAAAAGAAAGAAAAATGTACAATATAATAGAAGTTCTCTTCAACAGCCCCACTCACACAATGCACAGGATGAATCGATACTGCCCACGCCCTCTCTCAAACTCCACAACAGACAGGCCCAGGGCTCTTTCAGCTGGCAGGTGACTCTCAAGTACGCCTGTGTCCCTCTGCTCCTTCCATCTAAGCTGTACACTTAGGAAGCATCAGTTGTATTTACTTTCAAACCTATTTGTGCCAGTTGTGTTTGTCATTCTATTTCAACGATGTAACTAAATGGTACGGAAACTGATGGAATGGGAGTGTAATAAACAGTGGCTGTTTCTATAAAAACTACATTTAATGTTTTAGGATGACTAGATAGATATGACTCATTAAAAGTGCTACTGAATGAGGTATGGGTAAGACAACTGTTAGAAATTGGGGATGAAATCCCAAGTGGAAGGACTTTACACTCTACAAGTGTCAGCTCTTGTTCTACTTTAAAGATACAGAAAATATGTATTCTGGTTATGATTTGTGAGAAAAGTGATGTAAAACTCTTATCAGCAGACTCATATTCAAAAGGACTTGTCTCATTACTAAAAGACTGATGAATGCATGTGCAGTTCTGTGTTTTACTCTAAGATAAGGGGTTTGCATATCTTTCCATGATTTCCTACATTAACTGACGTTGTCAATTAACTGACCCAATTCTTCTGGACAAAAGAGCTTCTACATATAAAAATGCCACCTTGGAGTGACTGTAGTGCAAAATAACTTTAGAGAAAATATTTCCCCCTAAATTGGCAATAACTCTCTAATTTGAAACCGCTTCCCCAACTACAGGACGAATTTTTGTAATGCTACTCATATACTGAACACCAACACTGTCCTAGACCTGCCCTCTTCTCTTGGGGTACAGTACAGCAGCCCATTTTCGAAGGTTAATTTTTCCAAGCTCAAAAGAATGTGGTTTCACTCCCCACAACAGAAGACAGACACTGTCCTTCCTTTCAGCAAGCTCAATTTTTTTGGACCTGTGTTTGGAGATTACTTTTTCTTAAAACTGTATTTCATTACTCTGAGATGTTTTTCTCTCTTTAATGATGTATCAATGACTGTGGTGCCATGGGTCGCTTCTGTGCGGCCTTTCTCGCCATGGTCTTCTAACTCACACCCAAATGACTGAGTGGGACTGTGCAAATGGAGTAACTGTGGCCTACCAAGGGGACTGGTCAGTTTTGCCATCCCGTTGGGCTTGAGGTAAGCCATCTCACAGGTGAAAAAGAGAGGATCCTAATACCACCAAGGAAAAACAGACAGGAGCAGAGACCATGTCCTTTGGAACCAGGACCCCTGCACTGAGAAGTCCTGGAATCAGGAGACTGAGCAGAGAGAGAGAGAGCGCTGTAACACTGAAGACGGCAAGAAGTGAGTGCAGGAGGAACCAGCAGGAGACCAAGCAGTTGGCTTCCTGGCCCACGCAGTGAGAAAGCTGAGTGCCTGGGGTGCCTCTGGGGACTTACTGGCAGGGGCTAAATAGCTTTATAACACTTGCCTGAGCAGGGCAGAGGCCTAAGGCCAGAGAGTGGTGTGCCTGCGAGCATAGCTGAGAAGAGGCTGTCCTGATGGAAGAGCTGTATTCTGAGTCCTTCCTGAGCCTGAACTGTAACTTGTTATTTCCCTAATAAACCCCATAATCCTGAGTATGGTCTGTGAGTTCTGTGTGGCCACTACAATGAATTATTGAACCCAGCACAGAAGCAGAGAGTTCTGTGGGAGGGATCGCTGGTGTCAGACTTGGTAAAGATGGTGGAGAGAGGAGGCATGTCTGACCTCCACCTCATAGGAATCAGCCTTGGGCTGTTGATCTTGAGTCTCCTTCCCCCTTGGGAAGTTAGAGGTCAGACGCCACTGCCATGTCGTTTTTACAACGATGCTATCTTAGATTTAACATAATACAGTAGCATAGTTTCCCAAGTGAGGTATTTAGAACACCCAAAAGTAATAGCCACTATTAAATAATATCAAAGAAAGTTTGGGAATACAGAGGAACTGAAAGTATATAAAACCATACAATCTGTACAAATAACTTAGTTATTTGTAATAACTGGATGGTCTTAGAAGACAGAATAAGTCAGTCAACAATACATAGCGTGATACTGCACTGAAGATTAAGTCTACTGTGCTGTTTCCTATCCACTGTTTAATAAGCACCTACTAGGTGCCAGGCACTGTATATAGTAGAAGCTTTATTGTTATTATTTCTAATACTTGGGACATCATAAAACAGGTACTTATTCATTCACCAAATACGTATATAGTGAGTGCCTACCATACATCCGGTACTGTTCTAAATACCAGTGATGAACATGATAGACAAAGGCCGTGCCCTCAGCAAGGTGACATTCTAGAAGAGCAGACAGACAATAAATAAGAAAGAAAACAAACACCCTAGTGAGAAAAACTCTTCAGACAGTGTTAAAAGCCAGGGAGAAAAATCAAACAGGATGCTGTGGCAGAGGTGAAGGGAAGGAGGGAAGAGATTAGTTTAATTCTGGTCAAGGGAGGCCCTCCGAGGCAACATTTCAGCTGAGGCCCAAGTAACAAGAAGGAGTCAGTTACGTAAGCTCTGGGGGATGAGCTCCAGGCAGTAGAAGCGACAAGCACAAATCTCTTCAATGGGAGTGGGCCTGGCAAACCTGATATGGCTGGTGTATGATGAATGTGGAGCAGAGTGGCGTAACAGGAAGTCAGAGAGGTGGGAGAGGTCATTCCATGGAGGGCCCAGTAAAAACATGGTAGGGAGTTTGGATTTTATTCTACGTGAAAAAGTAAATTGCTGAGGGTTTTAAGCAGAGGAATTATATGACCTTTTAAAGGGATCACTCTGGTTACTATGAGGAGAGAAGACTACAGAAAAAGCAGTGGATAATTACGTTATTATGGTATCCCGGTAAGAAATAATAGTGGGTTGGAATAGGACAGTAGCAGTGAGTTGGAGAGAAGCAGTGAATTCAGGATATATTTCGGAGGTAGAGCCAAAAGAAGTAGCTGATGGATATGGGAAGTAAGGGAAAGAGAGGAATCCGCGAGGAATTCTAGCTTTTAGGCTTGAACAAGTAGACTGGACAGTGATGTCACTCACTGTAATGAAAAGACTGAAGGAAAAACAGGTTGCTTGTTAGATATCAAATTGGATAAGTCAAACAGGCAGTTAGATACGCAAGTCTGGAGCTCAGGATTGCTCAGGATTGGAGATATAAATCTGAGAGTCACTGACATATAGTTTGAATTTAAAGCCACTGGTCTAGAGAAAGTCCCTTTGGGAGCAACTATAAACAGAAAAAAAAGTGAAGGGTTGAATCCTGAGGCATTCGATTAAGAAAGATCAGTCAATGAGCTGGGAGGAAAACCAGGAGAGTGCGATATCCCAGAAGACAAAAGAATAAAGGGTTTCAAAAAAGAAGCAGTTGTTAAGAGGTTAACTAAGATACGAGCAGAGAAGTTGCCATCAGCTTGGACGTCACCTGTGATCCTGACAAGAGCAGCGTCGGGGGTGTGGTGAGGATGAACACCTGACTAAAGTGGCTGAAGGAGAGAATGGAATTTAAAGACTTTAAGAAAGTGTCTAGACAAGGCATTTGAGAACTTTTGCTGTGAAGGGAAGCAAGGAAATGAGGTGACAGCTGGAAGGATTCATGGAATTTGTAAGACTGAGAGAATTAAGCATGATGTAAAAAATTGTTTTTAAGATGGGAAACATTTTTATCCCCATTCTCAGATGAAAGAAACTGAAGTTCAGGAAGGTTAAGAAACTGGCTTAACTTGCTTAAGGTCACTGTCACTAGACAGTGACAGGGCCTGGGGTTCAAATTTAGGTCTGACTCCAAAGCTTATGATCCTTCCACGTTTCCCTGTTGCCTCTGATTTGAACCTGCTGCTGTCAATTCCGACTTATAGTGACCCTATAGGACAGAGCAGAACTGGCCCACAGGGTTTACAAGGAGCGGCTGGTGGATATGAACTGCCGACCTTTTGGTTAGCAGCCAAATGCTTAAGGATACTGAAAAACTAGATAAAATAAAAGCTACGTGTTTCGGTAAAATTATAAAAAGAAACTGGCAATAATATCTTCCTACCTTGTTACGATGAGGAGGAATACGGTAAAACTAGTAGATTACAACTGACAGCTTGGCTGTGCGTGCTAGGGACCAGCTAACTCTACGTTATCTCACAATGGAATAATAAACAACAAATTCACTCCAGTAGGCTTAATATTAAAAACAGTGGAAATATCTTTGACTGCTCTATACTTACCTCGCTTTTTTTGAAGTCAAAGCTTTATTTTCATTCAGCTTTCTTCCACCACTTTCTATATGAAAATACACATATATTTTAGTGGGTTATTTCTATACATTATATAATGTAAAACAATTAGCTAAAACATTCATTCTTTGACCTCTTACCAACACAAAAGCCTATATCAAAATTTTTTTAATCTTCATTTAATAGCCTCTATTAAGACACTGGAAACCCTGGTGGTATGGTGGTTAAGAGTTCAGCGGCTAACCAAAAGGTCAGCAGTTCGAATCCACCAGGCACTCCTTAGAAACCTTATGGGACAGTTCTACTCTGTCCTATACGGTCACTATGAGTTGGAATTGACTCGACAGCAACGGGTTTGGTTGTTTTTTTTTTAAATTAAGACACTACTTAGTTTAAAAGAATAAAATTATTTATTAAGGAAACAATAAATTGTATAAAACACAATTATTTCATTGCTCAGAACTCAGACTACTACTTTAGAAATAGGATCGCGTTTACTGGAACTACTGTAAAATCTAGAAGCCGTTACTTTGGTGCCATAGACCTTGAATACGGTGAAAGTATTTTTTTGTTGTTGTTGTTTATCCTTCTCTTTGAAAACAGCTTCACTGTAAATATTTAATGATTATGGATAGAGAAAGAGTTTAAGTGATTTTTTCAAGAATATAAAAATCAGCTGAGGAGAGGGGGAATTAAATACAGACTAATTTTTGCTATCTCCTGTCTACCAAATTAGGAGCCCTGGTGGCACAGTGGTGAAAGTGCTGGACTGCTAACTGAAAGGTCAGCAGTTGGAAACCCCCAGCAGCTCCACGGGAGAAAGATGTGGCAGTCTGCTCCCATAGAGATTTACAGCCTTGGAAACCTATGGGGTCGCTATAAGTCGGCATTGACTCGATGGCAGTGGGTTTGGTTTGGGTTTTTTTACCATGTAACTGAGAGAACTATCATACAGAAGATATTAACTTGTTAGGGGGTACAGTATTCTTTACTGTTTAATAGAGGAAATAGTTGGTACGTACACAACATTTCATTTTACAAATAATGTAAAACCTAAAAACACTGACACAAAGTATTTGATTCAATTTCTATTTTCTACAAGAAAAAATACCTGTGGTATTCCTTGCACCGTCTTTCCATGTATCTGGAGTGATAACAGTACCAAGTTTCTTTTCACCTGTTGTAACAGGATAGAAAAAGTGAGGGGGATTAGCGTTCCCTAGGTAATAAATACACTACACTGTACCTATGGTGCGCAAGGTGTCAGCAGTCACTCTACAGGAGGAGTCCATCAGTGCTGGGTACGGACCAGTGAACGGAGACTCAAGATGCTAACTGTGGGCAACAGAGAGCTGACCCCTCAGTAAAATCTGTGGGATGACAAGACGACTTATACTAGGCTTTCACTAAACAAGTGCACTTTAAATAAATACGGCAAACCTATTCATTCAACAAATATTTACTAAGCATCAATGACGTGTAAACCACTATCCAAGGTGCTGAGAAAAATAAAACAATGAACTAGACAACGCTCTAGATTTCAGCCTTATGGTAGTACACTGGTTGCTCTAACAGCAGTTTTTAACCTGGCTTCCATGGGTGGGCCTTAGAAGATCTGTGATCAAGATGACGTTGTTCACAAATGTTTTGTATATACACTTTTAATTGATGAGAGTCCATCTTTCATCAGATTCTCATAGGCGTCAGAGACCCAAAAAAGATTAAGAATCATTAAACCAAAATATAAGCTAGAAGATAAAAAGTATAATAATTGAGTGCTAAATAAAGTACTAAGAGAAATCCCACGGGGGAAGAAATAACCTTGTCTAGGAAAACTCAGGCTAGGGGAACTTCATGGAGAAGACTACAGAGAAGGTTTCAGCGTGCGGCGATGGGGCTGTGAAGAAAGAGGAGGAGGAAAGAGGATGAAGCTCCACTAGATGCAGGACACACTCTGAGGAAAGGCACAGAAATCTCAGGGTACACACGGGCACACGAAGTGCAAAAAGGGTAAGGGTCACTGAACATGACGTTGGAAAGACAGGTTGGGCCTTTTTGTGGAAGGTCCTGAATTCCAAATATAGAAAACCAAGCCTTATTCTCTGGACACTGGGAATTTATTAAAGGTTTTTGCACAGAGAAATGACAGGCTGCACTTGTAGTTAGTGCGGTTCAAACGTCTGCTGGGCTTACTCTAAGCCACGTCCTGGCACGTGACGAACAGGAATGGATAAGACTAGGTCCCCACCCTTCTGTGCTAGTGCCTAGCATTTAGTACAGTACAATAAATACCAGTTTCGTGACTGAAAAGGGAAGATGAGAAAATGCAAGAGGGAAAAGTAGAGTCAAGGTTTAAATTTTTAGGTGGAGAAAGACTTGAGCTTTTTTATATGGAAGGGGAGCTGATGAAAGATTCCAGAGGAGACAGGAGAGATAAAAGGCCTGGAAAAGGGGGGGAACTACGGGAACAAAAACATGTGAGAAGAAAGTAAGATGGTAAAAGTACAGCACGAGAATAGTGAAAGTGAGAAGTTGAGAATGTTTTCATCTGATAACTTCAATTTTCTCACAGATGGAAGAAAGTAATTGTCAATAGAGAATAAAGTAGATGTGGGTTGGGCAAAGCTAAAAATACTCGGAAATTTTGGAATAGTCTCTAAGGAGAAAGGGGTGAGAGAGCTGACTAAGGAAGACTGATGAACAGTATTAAATATCTGGGAGATTAGGAACAATCAATTTTTAGCGGTACCAACTGATTCCTTTGTGCAATTTCCCCAGGTGGACCTTACTTAAGTACTGGATGGTTTAGGGAAAGAAGAGCCCAGAAGTAGGGAGAGTACTTCGAGGGGGAGGAGACTGGTGGGAGAAGATCATACTCTAAGTCAGAATGATAGGGATCCCGCTAGGGTACTGGAGGAGGAAATGAGGGGCTAGGGAAAATGTGAGCTATAGTATGGAAATAAAACACACAGGATACAGCAACTGTTTAGCTGGAGGTTTACAAAGGGATAGGGGAATAAAAGAGATGACTGAGGCTTTGTGAATGGGTGACTGGGAGGATGATGATGTCACTAAATGATGAAAGAGGAGGTACAGATTTGTGAAGTGTGATGACGAACTCAGTCTTGGAAGTATTAAACTACCAGATAACCAGGTAGAGCTTCCCAGTATTGTTTAGAAAAAGCTGTCCAGTTGGTGCTCAGGCAAGAGAGAAGTCAGGGCTGCCAATGCGGATTCAACAGTCATCTGCATAGATGTGCTCCTTGAAGCCCAACACTTCAAAGAAAAAAGCAGAGAAAAGAAGGTCAAAGACAGACCACCGGGGAACATCTGCTTTAAGAGAGGAAAGAGAAATAAGAAAACTGGAAGAGTGTAATGCTAAAAAAGCCTAGAAAGAAGTAAAGCAGGACAGAAAAAAAAAAGTCATCGACCTTGGTGACTAGATCACTGGTGAACTTTTGGAAATTCTTTCAGAAGTACGGTAAGGTAAAAGTAAGTTTGTAAGGTGCTCAAAGGCAATTGTGAAAACTTGGAGGCAATGAATGTAGCCAAATCTTTCAAAATTTTACAGTGACTGGAAAGACAGAACTAAGGTGGTTGCTTGAGAGGGCAGCTTTATGTACAGGAGAGCTTATTTATAGAATGGAATGAGCTGATATAATGGGAGATAAGAAAAATATAATAGAGAGGGTATATTTTCAATTAAGGAACAAGATGATACAGGAGGTAGGAAGGTTTTGACCAAAGAAATAATAAAGGGTTAGATTTACGAAAGAGCAGAGAAGAAGAAAGGGAATGAGCTTTTATGACACACATCCTCCCCCAGGATCAAATATGTATATTTTATTTTAATACCACACCCGATCTTGGATTCCCAAAATTATTATGTACCTTGAGAAATTAATTCTCACAGTTTCTCCAGGATTTTCAAAATCCCTGGGACAAAGCACCTACAGTACTAAGGTGCATTACACACAACAAATGAAACCAGACAGAATTGCTGTCGTCTCAAAAGTCAAACTATACAGAATTAACCCAAGTTACATGGAAGGCCAAACTTTGAAATTTAAGAACTGCATGATGTAAGAGAAAAGATTATCAGGACAGGTGCATAACTGAAACATATTTAAGTCACATTCACTCAAACAACCAACCAAACAAAAACTGCTCAGTGCAGGAAGGAAAAGAGTTAAAGTATGTCAGTGTCAAAGGCTTAATGTGCTTTTTGAGATGATGAGAATGTTCTAAAATGGATTGCGGTGAGGGTTGCACAATTCTGCGAATATACTAAAAACCACTGAATTGTACACTTTAAATGGGTGAATTGTATGCTACGTGGATTATATGTCAATGAAGTTGTAATTAAAAAAAGCTTAATGAGAGAAAACAGCCAGATATATTAACCAGAAGATAAAAGAGACTTGGGGGGTATGACAGCTGTTTTTAAGCACATGAACGGCTTGTTAGATCAAAAAAAGGTCCCTAGGTGGCACAAATGGTTTGCTCTCGACTGCTAACCTAACAGTTGGCAGTTTGAACCCATTCAGTGGTCCCTCAGAAGAAAAGGCCTGGCAATCTGCATCCATTAAGATTACAGCCAAGAAAACCATATGAAACAGTTCTACCCTGTAACACCATGAGTTTGAATCGACTGGACAGCAACTAACAACATGATTAAAAAGCCGTAAGACATTTTCTAGAAATCTGACGAGTCTGCATTAGAATCACTGGGTGCCAACTATAGGTGAGCAGACTTTTCTAAAAGTCAACCACGTCTACGTAGACTGCTTTGGAGGTGGTGAGACTCTCCTGTCCCTGCCTGCTGCAATACCGTAGGTATTCATGCAAAGAGTATCTAAGCCATTGGATGGGAAGGTGACTTAGGGTTGACAGATAAAATGTTGTTAGGTGCCGTGCAATTGGCTGCAACTCACAGCGACCGCATGAATAACAGAATGAAGCACTGTCCGGTCCTGTGCCATCCTCACAATATTAATTATGTCTGAGCCCATTGTTACAGTCACTGTATCAATCATTTTGTTGAGGGTCTTCCTCTTTTTTCAATGACCTCTAGTTTACCAAGCATGACGTCCTTCTCCAGGGATTGGTCCCTTCCGATAACACATCCAAAGTAACCGAGATGAAGTCTCGCCATCCTTACCTGCCTAGTTAAACGAATTTCAGAAAAACAACGAGTAATAGTTTTAGTAAAGCATGTCCTAAATCTTGCAAGGGACAACAAACATGGCCGAATCCCAAATACTGCAAGGGACATACTCATACTAAAAAATAATCCGTGGTTTATCTGAAATTTAAATTTAACGGAGCGTCCTGTGTTTTTATTTGCTACCTCTGGCAACAAGATCCTGTAGATGTGATTTTTAAGATCCATTCCAACCCTCAGGGTCTGTGAGGCGAAGGAATCAGTCAAGAAGCTGTTTGGGATGAGATCGGGGCTGGGGGCAGTCAACGAGAATAGACAAAATGATGCAGAGCTGAGACCATTCTGAATGAAAAATATATGGTAGCTAGGAACCCTGGTGGCGCAGTGGTTAAAGCTCTCGGCCTCTAACAAAAGGTTGACGGTTTCAACCCACTAGGCGCTCCGCGGGAGAAAGATGTAGCAGCTGGCTTCCGTAAAGATTACAGCCTTGGAAACCCTATGAGGCAGTTCTACTCTGTCCTATATGGTCTCTATGAATCGGAATCGACTCGATGGCAGCGGTGGTTTTTGGTGAAATATGGTCGCTTGCAGCCCTGGTGGCGCAGTGCTTAAGAGCTCGGCTGCTAACCAAAAGGTCAGCAGTTCGAACCCACCAGCGCTCCTTGGAAATCCTATGGGGCAGTTCTACTCTGTCCTACAGGGTCGCTATGAGTCAGAATTCCCTTCACGGCAACGGGTTTGGTTTAGTTTTTGGTACGGTCACCGGAGAAGCGGCAAGAAGGTCAAAGGGCAGGGTAGCAAAACAGAGGCTACCATCAAGACACCTGCGAGAGAAGGAAAAACAAAGAAAAGGCAACGGTCCCGGGGGAGTCCAGCTAGGTTCTCCTAGCCTCTTTCTCCCGCAGAATCGTACCCTTAACTCACATTTTTCGCACACCATCCTTTAGAGGACGACGGTTCCCTCAACAGCAGTAGCTGCGGCCGCTCCAAAACATCAACACTACTGCCCGTAAACGATTCTACTTCCGGGTACGTAGATCTACTTCCGGGTACGTAGATCTACTTCCGGCCTCTAAACCCTACTCTCGGGCCTATCCTGCACCTGGAAAGCCGCGGGAGCAATAAACGCGAGTCGGTGGGCGGGGCTGCTTCATTTGTCCACCTCTTCATTTTTGCGATTGGCTGTTAGGGCTTGAGTTTCCGCCCCCACGACCTTGCGCCTGCGCGAGGGTCAGGGCATCGAGACACACCTGATGGTGGGTAGTGGCAGCTTCCGCTTCCCATCGGCGGGCGGGAGAGTTAGGTAAGTCCAGCTGGAGCCCCCGGTACGCTCGCCTCCCGGAGGTGCGAGCAACCCCCGCCAACTGCCGAAGTCTGCGCGAATCTCTGCCCTACCGTCCGCTTGAGCGCCACCATTCTGTTGTGACCCAGGGGCTTCCCTGGTGGACCGACCTTCGTTCGGATCCGACTTTTGTCTCTATACCTCAGGTTTCCCTGGTGTTCTTTGATTATGTTTCTCAGCACGTTCTTTGCCACCTATAATCACGGCACGTGAAGCTTGGGTAGAGCCCTGATGGACCAGTTTGGGGTGAGGCTGCAGATGAATGTCCCGCGATTCCCAGGACAGCTCTGGAAGCAGCTCAGAGGAGCCTTCTCTCCCGCTGTGATACCTGTCGATCTGGGCCAGGTCTAACCTACCGCGCCAGGGCGGTGGCCTCCCGATGGGGCGCATGTTAGGCGTCCTCCTGGGCACGCCAGGGCCTAACACAGCGCCTGTTTCTCAGGGAGGGCCCCCGCGTTTATTTGTGGGCAAACTCTACCTACTCTTTCATGCGTTCATTCAACAAGCGTTTGAGTATGCGTACTGCTCATTGTCTTAGATCCAAATCTACTGATATCGGTTGGCATTTTGAGAATGGCCCAGACGAATGGTGTCCGAAGGGGTATCTGTTGTGAGAATATTGCTCTTCTTTCCCAGTTAGCTGAGGATAGAACCCGTGAGAAACTTCGTCTCTTCTTGCCCTTCAGTCTCTTCCTGACGCCTGGTGTGAGGCTTTGGAATGGCTTTAGCACTTCGGAGCTTAGGACCTTGGACGTGTCTTCTAACATATCTTAATTTGTTTCCTTATCAGTAAAATATTTCCCTTTGAAAATTATTCTCTCGCGTGCTCTTTCCCACTCGCTAAGTATGTATGTATATGTGTCACAAATACACTTTTTTCCTCCTTCCGTTAATGTTCTCCTTTTGATTGGAATCTAGCACCTGTAACATCATTCGTTAAGTATCCATCTGAGAGGCATTATCATTTTGGTATTTCTGGAGCACTGGGATCCCTTAGGAGTACCTGAGTCGGGGCTCCTCAGAAGAGAGGCCTGGCGATCTGCTTCAGAAAGATCCCAACCTTGAAAACCCTGTGGAGGACAGTTCTACCGTGCAACACGTGGGATCGCCATGAGTCAGAAGGGACTGGATGGCAACTGGTTTTTGGTTTTGGTTTTTGGGATCCCTTAGCATAATGCTCTTTGAACTCCATTGATTACCTTGGCACTATCATTTGAATATTTCAGTGTGCACTTAGTATCACTTGGCATTTGCTGAACCTGTTGCTGTTGAGTCCATTCTGACTTATAGCGACCCTACAGGACAGAGTAGAACTGCCCTATAGGGTTTCCAAAGAATGGCTGGTGGATTCAAACTGCCCACTTTTTGGTTAGCAGCCAAGCTCTTAACCACTGTGCCGCCGGGTGGTACTTACTAGACGATGTGAAATACTGTGATGTTGGACTAAGAATCCACAGAGGTAGAAAACAACAACTTGGCCGAAGTATTCATGGGGTTTCTAGACACCATAGGTTATATTTCCAACGGAGAACAGATGATTTAATCTGTGCAGTTTTGATATCTCCCTGATTTTGGCAGAAAAAGTAAAGTGAGTTGCTTAATTAGTCCTGGCACATGTCCCTTTTGCAGAAACCAGTCACAAATATTTGAGAAGATAGTAAATTTGTCCTTTTTAGGCTCTGAGAGCTGTTTGGGTTGAAGGATTCAGTACCATAGTAAGAGAGCCTAAGGTAAAATATGTTAAATCTACATGCGCATTTACACATATGCATCTTCCTGTTTTGAAACAAATACATTATTGCCTATAAATTGACTTTAATTCATGGCTGATTTTGAAGGGTTGGAACATTGGGGACAGTGGAAAAACTCGTTATTGAATATGCTCTTATTTCATTAATTTCTTTTTTACTAGATAGCTACCCAAGAAAACACCATGAAAGATAATGACATCAAGAGACTATTGTATGCCCATCTCCTGTGCATATTTTCAGTTATTCTAAGCACCTTCATTCCATCCCTCTTTTTGGAGCGCTTCTCAATATTGGAGACACACTTGACATGGTTGTGCATCTGTTCTGTTTTTGTAACTGCCGTCAATCTAGTATTATATTTGGTAGTAAAACCAAATGCACCCTCTAAAAGAAGTTCATTATCACACAAGGTAAGGCTTATTCCTTCATAACTGGTTTTTGAATGGGGCTAGTGGTTTTTTTTTTTTTTTTTTAATGGAAGAATAAAGTATTAGTCCAGTTTTCACTAACCCAATGTTCCTTTTTCAAATGTGTAGCCTGTTGCTTGCTAGAAGTCTGTCCACGATGTTTGATAGATGTTTGCTATGCAATAATTGTGAAATTAGGACAGTTTATTTTCATTTCTGAAATACAGTGGGATTTTCAGGAATTGTAAAATAGCCTCCATGGTGGCTCTGTTGTTTTGAACGCGGCCTTCCTTGACTAAATACTAGTAAAGTTTTCAGGTATTAGAATCTGTTTTCTGCAATATTAGTCACTTCCCTGCAGCGTGACATGTTGACTATTTAAATTAATAAAGACCTCACTTGCCATTGTTCACTACTATGTGTAAGCTCTCTGTTAGGTAATGTAAGGCACTTTTATTGCTCTATGATTCAAAAAGCTCAATATGTGCATATTTTACAATTAAATCTTCTTAGTTTAAACTCCAAGTCAAGCAGGTCCCACATGCTAATTTGCAGACGGCAGGTCTTTTTGCATATTGGTCATACAGTAACTTGAATGTGATTTGGGGGATTATTTAGTAATTTGCTTTTTTGTACAGATTTCCTAGGAATTTTTCTTTTTTTTTAAAATACAATAAATTATTGTAGCTCATTTTTATTCTGCAGATATTTCGTGTATCATCTTCTCAGCAGCTCTTTGGTAATAAGGGCTGTGTTTTGTGCTTTCTTGTATCCCTGCACTCTGTTATCTGTAAATAGTTCCTAAATATTGATTAAATACAGAGCTCAGTATATGCCATAGAAACAGAACCACTTTCACCCTAGTGTTTGTTGGGTTCGGGACGTAGGAGAGTGGTACTTGGCCTTTTAGCCCTTTCTACAATGCTGTATTGCAGGCTGTGTGCTTGACTGTACACAGGTTGTGTGATTTGACTCTTCAGTACTCACATCCAAAGAACATTCAGGTGTTTCACACATTACCGTAATGATTTGTATTTGTAGATAAAATGGAAGAATTTGTTATCTTTTAGGTGTTCTGATGAGTCTTTATTCATTTCTTTTTTAGGTAGCCAGATTTTTGAAGTGCTGTATCTACTTTCTTATGTCTTGTTTCTGCTTTCATGTAATATTTGTTCTATATGGAGCACCACTAATAGAGTAAGTCTGAGATTTTTACTTTATGGCAATTATATTTTAAAACACTCCTTTACTAAACAATGTGCTAACTCTGTTGGTGATTAGAGGAAAGCCTTGGTGTGTTTAATTAATGGATAGAGTAAGGATATGGGCATTATTGCTCTTTTTTTTTTTAGCAGTGTTATCCTTTTTTAAAAAAATAGTGGAATAGCTTAATTATTAAATGCCTCTATTACCTAGCCTTCTATTATCCAATTGTAGGTGGAGTAGTGGGGGGAGTGTGCACTATGCTAGAATAACAACAGTGTGGCCCTTAGAACCACTAACAGAACTTATTATTATAATGATATGTAAAATTTAGTTATAATAAGAATGTAAGAATTCTTATAATAAGACTATAAGAATTAGCAAATGCAACTGTTAGCATATCGACCCTTAGTAAATGTAATTCCGAAGTGATTGAAAAGTGTTTGTTTTCTTAAGGAAAGTCAATAGATTCCTGTATGTAATTATTTAATAAATCAATTTTTCTAGTTTAAAGGTAAAATTTGACTTGATACTTTTTTAAAACTGACTAATTTTAAATTAGTGGAATCCAAATTCATGAATATTCTTTACATAATGTTCATTATATATAGTTTGGGAAATAACAGTTGAGCAGTGATTAATGATCATGATGTGATGAGCAATGTGGTATATATATACGTACACATATATGTGTACGTATATATATAAATTTGTGTGTGTGTGTGTGTATACATATATATGGAGCCCTGGTGACGCAGTGGTTAAGAGCTACAGCTGCTAACCTAACGGTCGGCAATTTCAATCCACCAGCCGTTCCTTGGAAACCCTATGGGGCAGTTCTACTCTGTCCTATCGGGTCTCTATGAGTCAGAATGGACTCCAGTGGGTTTGGTATATATATACAAAACACATAGTTATACATACACATACTAGCAGGTTATTCTTTTCTAGCAAGGGGAGGACAAGACCTTTGTCATGGGAAATGATAGTTTCTATCTCGTGCATTTTAGAGTAGAATGAATGTCTAGAGCGGTGGTTCTCAAAGCCTAGTCCTTGAACCAGCAGCATCAGCCTTTTACAGAAATGCAAATTCACAGGCCTCAGTCAGAAACTCTAAGGGTGGGGTCCCCAGTCTTTAGCTCTTCAGGTGATTCTGATGTAAGCTCAGTTGAATCACTGGTTGCAGAGTAAGTTTCAGAGACTACTGAAAGTTAATTATGTAGAAATGGGGTTTCTTGCAATGGACAATCTCAGTAAGGAGCATAGGGTATTTGACACCTCTGAAATCTATCATTAAAGCCAGATTCTCACTAGCTTGTTTTTTATAGCTTCCATTTCAGTGGTAAAATTATTTGTAGTGATCATTTTGGTGGGCCTTAGGTTACCATTCTAAGTATAAGAAAATATTTTTATATTAAGTCTATTTATGCAACAAACATGATATATGTGTGTGAGTACACGTATGCTCACCTTTAACATTTTTTAAAAACTAATACAGTTTTTTTTTTCTAGGTTGGTATTGGAAACATTTTTATTTGCAGTTATTTTGTCTACTTTTACTACTGTGCCTTGTCTGTGCTTGTTAGGACCAAACATCAAAGCATGGCTAAGAGTTTTCAGTAGAAATGGGTAAGTTTTAGTTCTACATTTTAGTGATATTTGAAATAAGTTTTAAAAAATTAATGAAGCGGTTTTCTATTCATAGCCACTTGCTGATGGTTCCGTGAGTGTCTCTCAGCACTGTGTGGTTCTCAGACGCAAGAGGCCACCTCATTTGGGAGTTGGGAGCAGGAAGGGGTGGTATGCATTTGAGGGGGATTCAAATAGGTAGAATGATAGGCTCTTCCCTCAGCTTTGGCAAGGTCAGCTCTGCTTTTTGCTATTTTCTATGGTAAAGTTACACGTAGCCTTTTGTTTGAACAAAGGTTTCCGCTACCAAAAGAAAGCTTTGAAACCACTGCTCTGGGATGATTTTGCACTGTGATAAAATTGCTATGATTTCTACTTATACATACATCTTATAATGTAAAAATGGGGTCCACAATCCAAAAATGTTTTGTGTAACAACGATAATTTCTTGTTAGCCTCTTTTGTGGTAAGACATTAGAGTCCAGGGTTTACAGAATTTTCTTTCCTTAGTGGCTGTACATACTTTCAGCATAGCTAAGTTAAAATTTTCACTGTTTGAAAGGCATTGAAATGATGTGCATCAAAAACGGCTGAGTATAGTAACTAAGAAGGATTTTTGCAGCACACGGTTTTGTCCTGTTTGTCATGACATGATAAAAACGTCTAGAGCGCTTACTTTGTGCCCCGTGTTGTGCTGAGCTTTGTGGATTTGGCAGCATCAGCCCTGATTCTTTTCCTGGGGTGCTTGCAAGTTGAAGGGACCAGAATGAAATGAACAAACAATACAAGACTAAGATCGTGTAACCCAAACATGAAGTGCTGTCAGAAAACTCAGGGTAGGAGACCACTGAAGGATGGTGCTGGAAGGGCTTGGGCTCATGAGTGTAGTATTTGGTGAGACTAAGGGGAAAGGGACAGGCGCTCTGTGCTAGGGCGACAGCTTGAGTGAAAGCAAGCATAGAAAGTGAAAATGAAGATGGCCTGTCTTAGGTTGGGTTCTCTAGAGAAGCAAAACCAGTGAAGTATATAAACATATATATAGAGAGAGATTGTATCAAGGAAACAGCTCACACGATCGTAGAGGCTGGAACGTCCCAAGTCTGTGGATCAGGGTAGAGGCCTCTCCCAAGTCACACAGCGGCAGAAGCTGGCAAGCCCAAGATCAGAAGGTCGGAGAGCAGGGCTCCCACTCACAGGCTGTGCAGATCGATGAATCCCAGGTTTGGCAGATAAGCTGATAGCTCAAGTCCCAAGAACGGGAGATGAGATGACAGGAAGCAGCCGCAGGATCCAGAGAGAGCAAAAAGCCAGAACGTCTGCTTATATACAGATGTGGGCCACACCCCCAAGGAGACTCCCTTTCATCTGATTGGGTACTCAGAGTATATTCAATCATGGGAGTGATTACATTAAAACACAGAGAATCATGGCCCAGCCAAGTTGACACAATCTTAACCATCACTTGGCCTTTTTGAGTGATTTGGAAGAAATCAGCCTTAGTGGAGAGAGGATGCAGGCTGGACAGCTTGGCTCCGTAAATTACTAACTTTCTTTTGAAATCAGTTCTGTTTGTTCCCTTTAGAACCATCATGAAGTCTTTCATAAAGTCTCACATTCAGAAAGGCTCTAGAAAACAAAAATGTAACAATGGAAAACTTCTTTCCCAAGTAGAATTAATTTTTTTATCGTTAATTCCATTAATTTTAGTTTGAAATTGTTTACCAGTGAAAGTCTGTTGAAACATGAAACCAGTTGCTGTGGAACCGCTGGTGAATCATGGCAGCCCCATGTATGTCAGGAGGATTGTGCTCTTTGGAGTTTTCAATGGCTCACGTTCTGAAGTCGCTCACTAGGCCTTTCTTCTGAGGCATCTCCCACCTTTCAGTTAGCAGCTGAGTGCCCTAACTGTTTGCACCACCCAGGAAACATAAGAACATTTAAAATACCTTATTGGTATGGGTTGGTGGTTTCTCCAGCTTTGAATTCTGTGTCTGATAATGGCATCAATATTATATTTGGGGAAGACATGGTCATCTGTGATTTTACAGTCAGCTCTGCCATAACATGGCATATGCATTCCTAAAAATCACCACAGTAGGCACAGTTGGGCAATAAAAACCACAGGGCTTATGGGAAAGATGAGATTGGGGAATAGGGATAACATTCAAAAACTTTGTCAGTGACACATTAAAAAAAGAAAGATAGGAACTTCCTAAAAGGTGGTAAAACAGTTTTATATATGTTAAATGGTTAAGAGATACATAAATACTACAATAAATATGGCACTTTCCCCTTACAAAGCCCTGAAGTTTGCTTGTGGAAGTGGGTGTGGGGAAGGTTGCCTCTTGTGAGTTACTGTGAAGTGGTGAAGGAGGGTTGTCTGAAATCTGATGGAAAGTTAACACCAGACAGGAATGGGTGTCGTTTATAACCCACACGGTAAGCTGAGGTAGCAGCTGGTAGATTTCTTTTTTTTAAAACAGATTTCTTGAGATATAATTCATATACCCTACAGTTCATACATTTGAAGTGTATGATTCAGTGATGTTTTAGTATATTCACAGATGTGTACAACCATCACCACAGCCAATTTAGGACATTTTCATTACCTCAAAAAGAAACCTCATGCCCTTTAGCTATCCACCTCCCTTTTTGCCCAAACTCCCCAGCCCTAAGCAACCACTTTCCAACAGAAAGCAATCTACTTTCTGTCTCTAGATTTGCTTATTCTAGACATTTCATATAAATGGAATCATACAATATATGACCTTTTGTGACTGACTTTCATCACTTGGCATGTTTTTAAGGTTCATCCGTGTTGTGGCATGTATCAGTACTTCATTCCTTTCATGCCTATGTAATATTCCATTCTATGGATAGACCACATTTTCTTTATCTGTTCATCAGTTGATGGACATTTGGGTGGTTTCTGCCATTTCGCTATTAAAAGTAGTGCTTCTGTAAACATTAGTGTACAAGTTTTTGTGCGGGCACATGTTTCATTTCTCTTGAGTATATATGCCTTGAAGTGGAATTGCTGGGTCACATGATAACTATGTAATTCCACTTTTGTTTGAGGAACTGTAAGACTGTTTTCCAAAGTATCGTTTTACATTCCCACCAGCAATGTACAAGAGTTCCAGTTTTTCCGTATCCTAGCTATTGCTTGTTATTATCTGAGTTTTTGATTATAGCATCCTTGTGGATGTGAAGTGGTATCTCATTGTGGTTTTGATTTACGTTTCCCTGATAACTAATGATGTCAAGCATCTTTTCATGTACTTATTGGCCATCTGTATACCTTCTTTGCGAAATGAGTATTTGCAGTGCAGTGAATTACTTAATATGGCTCTTTTAGCCGTGCATGGTCTTATAACTCCCATACAATGATTGGGTGGGACTATGCAAATAAGGTGCTTGTGGCCCACCAAGTGGATTGGACAGCATTGCTAATTATGCAGATAAGTTGCATGCAACCCAGGGGGGGGATTGACACCAGGCAAATAAGGTATATGAAACTAACAAGGGGATTGGTCAGTTTTGCCATCCCACTGGGCTTAAAAAGAGACCCAGTCCCAGAGCAGAGGGGGGACCTCACTACTATCAAGAAAGAAAAGCCAGGCACGGAGCACGTCCTTTGGACCTGGGGTTCCTGTGCTGAAAACCTCCTCAACCTAGAAGATAGAGAGCTGTAGCACTGGCGAGATAGTGGCGACAAGCGCAGCAGAGAAGTGGCAGCAGGAGATGGTGCAGTAGGCTTCCCAGCCTATGGAGTGAGGCAGCTACAGTGAGCCTGCTGATGCACGGAGTGAGAGAGCTGAGTGCCTTTGGGCCGAGGGTTCCTGGTGGAGTGGGGTGCCTCTGGGTACTTACCAGCTAAGCTAAAGAGCCTTGTAACACTTGCCTGAGCAGGACAGAGGCCAGGCCAAGAGGAGCCTGTCCTCAGGGGGCTGAGAAGAGCCTCTCATCTGGAGGCCGAGTGTGAGGTTCCAGACTCAAGCAGGGCCCAGCAGTGGAGGCCTGCCTGTGGGCGTGGCGAAGAAGCTATGGTGATCAAAAACTGTATCCTGAGTCGTTCTGGATCCTGAATTGTAACTTGTTACTTCCCTATTAAACCCCGTAACTGTGAGTATGATCTGTGAGTTCTGTGTGGCCATTGCAACAAACTATCGAACCCAGCAGAGAAGTAGAGAGTGCTTGTGTCAGAACTGGTAGAAAAGTTGGAGAGAGGAGATATGTCTAACCTCCATCTCGTAGGCATCAGCTTTGGGCCAATGTTGATCTTAATTCTCTGTCGCCTCTCCACCTCCTCCCCCCCCATGAGGTTAGAGGAGGTCAGATGACACCACGCTGCCATTCTACATTATTCAAATCCTTCGTCCATTTTTTCATTGGGTTATTTGTGCTTTGTTATTGAGGTGTAAGAATTCTTTATATACTCTGGATATTAATCCCTTATCAGATACATGATTTGCATATATTTCTCTGATTCTCTGGGTTGTCTTCATTTTCTTTTTTTTTTTGAAGCAAAAAAGCTTTTAATTTTGATGAAGTCCAATTTATCTGTTTTTTCTTTTGTTCATGCTTTTAGTGTTTTATCTAAGAAACCATTGCCAAACTTGTGGTTATGAAGATTTACTCTTAAGTTTTTTTAAGAGTTTCACAGTTTTAGCTCGTACATTTAGGACCTTGATCCATTTTGATTTAATTTTTGTACAAAGTGTGAGGTAGGGGCCCAGCTTCATTCTTTTGTGTGTGACTATCCAGTTGTCCCAGCACCATTTGTTGAAAAGACTATTTTTTTTTTTTTTTAAGTTTTTTTTTTATTTTTTATTGTACTTTAGGTGAAGGTTTACAGAACAAATAGTTACTCATTAAACAGTCAGTACACATATTGTTTTGTGACCTTGGTTAACAACCCCATGACATGTCAACACTCTCCTTTCTCGACCTTTTTTTTTTGGTGAAAATATACATAGCCAAAGATACACCATTTC